AACACTTAATTGTGCTTATGTGCACCCTATACTTGGACCAGGAAGCAGTAGTCAGAACAGAGCAGGGAAACACCACATGGTTCAGGATCAGGAAAGGTGTGTATCAGGGATGCATCTACTTTTTCTACCCCAATCAGACTCCAAAATTTGTTTTTCCAGCCTTTGAGTTAGCAGCGCACACTCCCTACAAACTATACTGCCAGAGTTCCTCAAATCATTAGTAGTGATAAATGGAGGGCAAGATGAGATTTCCCATCTCAACATGTCTTTTGATTTCTTGATTGCTGTTATCATGAATGTTACCTAGTTGATCCAGCCAGTAGCATAAACTTGTCTCAAAGATTAAGTCATACATGTTTAAGTACAGTTAGGGTACTACTCTGAGGGAGAAAGATGGGCACTTTCTTTCCATGTGGTTTACTGCCTTGAAAACCTGCTGGAGAGTCAGCTGTGAGTCATTTCCAACTTGATGGCACACAACAAAAATACCCTAAAACCTAGGTAGTATTCTCACCTTTTAGAAACAAGAATTCCTGTCTCCTAATGTTTTTTATTTTCTAAAATCTTTGAAACCGTTTTGAGAATACAGAAACAAGTCTTTACAAAATGTAAGCAGGAAAAGATTTGCCTGGCATGATTTGCTCAGGACCCTCCTGTGGCTAGAATGACCTTGCGCTGCCAAGGGAATTTATAGGCTGGCATCCCCAGTCAATCCAGCAAGACCTTAAGGAATCTGGAGCAGGTATATAAGTTCAAGTTCCAATCAAGAGCAATGCATTGAGATATTTTTGTTAGCTATTGTTATCAGTAGCAATTGAGTTGACTGTAATTCATGACAACCTCATGTGTGAATAGAACTGCTCCATAGGGTTTCAAGCCTGTGACCACCGAAAAATGGTTAGTTGAACATTATTTTCTGAGGCTTTTCTGGGTCAGTTCAGACCATTAACATTTTAGGTCATAGTTGAGTACTTTAACATTTGTGCCACCCAGACACTCTTTGGCTGACTGTTGTTCTTGTTAGATGCCAGACTGTCAATTAAGACTCATAGAAACTCCAAGTGACAGCAGCAGACATTTTACATTAATTCTGGCTAGTTAACGGAGTAAAGATAACCCACTGATGCCTTTGAACTGTGATGTGGAACAGAATACTGAATATCCTATGAATTGTGAAAAGAGAAACAGATATGTCTTAGAGAAGATGCAGCCAGAGTGTTCCTTGAAGGTAAAGATGATAAATTTTTTTTCTCATATACTTTGGGCATGTTGCTAGGAGATGCCAGGTCTTTTTCCAATATAGTCATTCATATTCAAAGTTGCTGCTATTGAGTCAGAATCTACACATAGCTGACCCTCCAGTAGGTTTTCAGAAGGCTGTAAATCCCAGGAGGGCAGATTGTACAATATTTCTCTTCAGGAGCCACTTGTGGATTTGAACTACCAGACAAGAGCTGCCTTTGGGTTAGCAATGCAACTCCTTACAGACTAAGCCACCAGAGAGCCCTCTAGAGTCACTAGATGGATTCAAACCATCAACTTTTTGGTCAGGGACTGAACACTTAATCATTCCACCACCCAGGCTGTTTTATTGGCTTCTTGTCGTTGGATGCTACAGACTCATAGCTGACCCTCAAGTGGGTTTTCAGAGGCAGTAAATTACATGGGAGAAAACTGTCTTTCTCCCCTAAAACAGCTGGTGTATTTGAACTGCATGCATTTGGGCTGGCAGTGTGGCTCTTTACCTGTCCCTGAGCCTAGGACTTGGTCATTTTAGTCTTGGTCTGATCCTTTCCCATAGCTAATCCCCTGTTCCCTTATTTGTAAAATACAGAATAAATGCCCTTAACACTGCAATTTTCTGAAATATAAGAATTAGCTAAATTGCTTAATAGCATAGTAATCCTTGAGAGCAGAAAATGAAAGTAAAAGGATTATACTTAATATTTTTAATCAATAAGAATTAAAGGTGAACTTTTTTTAAATTTAGGGTTTTTTTAAAAGCTTTTATTTTCATGCTTTCATTTTAAAACACTGAACAAATACAAGATTGTAAAGAGAGTAATTATTTTAGGTACTTTTTATATACTTAAAATTTTGTTTAAATTTTTATATACTTTTAAATATGATGCATACTATAGTTAATTGATGATCCTTACTTGCTCCAAGCCACAAGCATGCTTGGCTGAATGAAGATGATGAAGGAAGATTATAACAAATGATACTAACATTGAGGAGAATGGGAATCCTAGAACACTTAATTGTGCTCACATGAAACCTATACTTAGATCAAGAGGCTGGTGTGTGAACAAAGCAAGGAAACACTACCTGGTTTAAATTTAAGAGGGGAATGCATGTCAGAGTTGTATACTTTCTCTATACCTATTCAATCTGTATGCTGAGCAAATTATTTGAGAAGCTGGACTCTATGAGGAGGAATGTGGCATCAGGA